GAAGGAGATTTCATTTGCTTGCCATATGAATGTCCTGCTGGGGGATTTGCATATGAATGAGCTGCTAAAACAAATACATATGCAAATCCCACATCCTGGTCATTCAAGCTCTGGTTTATTCATATGTAAATCCTTCCAGAATTTGCATATAAATGAGCTGCAGGCACAATGTGCAAGGGCAGAGCCTTTGCAGGACTCAGCCCCTTTCCATGGGACAGTGGGAGTAGGGCCAGATTGCAGGACAGTTCTACTGCATATATGTGTTAAGCCAGGAGTGGACAACTGCATGCAGCTGTTGTGGAACTATATATCCCATGAGGCATAGCAAGATTGACAGTTACAAGCATGACTCTCAGAGACAGAGGCATGATGGGACTTGTAGTTCTGCAACAGCTGGAGAGATACAGTTGCCTGCAGTCAGCAAGAGGCAAAGCTAAGCTCCAGCCTTCTCTGCAGTCTTGCACAGTTGTATTGGCTCCTCTCCTGTACTGAAATTGCTGTGAGCCTCTCACAGTGTGCAGTAGAAGTTGAAGCAAGGCTGAGAGAGCCCACAATGTACATCCATTGTCAATCACGTCGCCCAGCAATGCAGATCCATGCCAGTCATGATGAACAACACCCAATGCTTGCCAGAAGAAAAAAATCCTACTGACTGATGGGACACGTCCAATCCCACCACTGACTAGCTGTGAATGACATCTTCTGTTCCCTGCCACTAAAAGTAAACACCTTACCCACTGACCCCAATGCATTTAGCTGAAATGGCAAATCATACCAAAATGTCTTGATTTTTGGAAGCTAGGACTCTCATTTCCACTCATCCCCAGCCATCTTTTTGGCAGCATTTGTAAATGACTAAACCAGACAGTCCTTTCTCTGGTCACTAGTTATTCAGCAGTCCTCATAATCTGATCTCTCTTTCTATTCTAGTCTATTTCACAACACAGCTGTAAATCAAGCTCCTAAAAGCTGCTGCGTTCGCCACCTGCTGGCAGCAAGTGATAAACCTAACATTTTCGTGAACAGAATTTAATAGGTGTGTATTGTTCTAAACATGCAAATAAAATATGTGTAACAAATATGCTTTGCTTCCTTTATTCTGCAGATTCTCTTTACAAACATTCAGAGATATTGAAAATAAATCATTTTAATATAATAATCGGAGCAGGCAAGCAGCTTCTGGCTCACACAGTAAATTATGCATGTGATGGGGGGTCACCCTGGACCTCTGGATTTGGTGGTGTCATCTGGAGCAGGCTTGGTACACTAGATGCAGGCTGTGAGCTGGGGGATTCTAACCTTCAAGGTGCTAAATAGCTGGGAATCTCTGTGAGTGTTCTCTGTGTTATTTCACCGATAAAATGTTCTGCCAGCCAAGATTGTTTCTGAAATGCCAGAAAATGAATTTCTAATCCACTGCTATTGGAAGAGTTCAGATGTCCTAAAATGAAATGTCAGAACATGAAAACAAGAACTGTCAGTGCAAGAAGCGTGCTCCCTCCACCACAGTATAGGAACTTTAGTTCTTCTGGCAGAGAACAGGAACAGTGTTCCTCCCACCATAGTACACAAACAGTGCTTATTCCAGCACTGTGCAGAAACAGTGCTCCTTCCACAACATTATAGGAACAATGCTCCTTCCACAACATTAGAGGAACAATGCTCCTTCCAGCACAGTACAGGAATGGTGATCCTTCTACCACAGTATAGGAACATTGCTCCTTCCAGCACAGTACAGGAATGGTGATCCTTCCACCACAGTATAGGAACATTGCTCCTTCCAGGACAGTACAGGAATGGTGATCCTTCCACCACAGTATAGGAACATTGCTCCTTCCACCATAGTACAGGAATGGTGATCTTTCTACCACAGTATAGGAATATTGCTCCTTCTAGCACAGTACAGGAATGGTGATCCTTCCACCACAGTATAGGAACATTGCTCCTTCCAGCACAGTACAGGAATGGTGATCCTTCTACCACAGTATAGGAACATTGCTCCTTCCAGCACAGTACAGGAATGGTGATCTTTCTACCACAGTATAGGATTATTGCTCCTTCCACCATAGTACAGGAATGGTGATCCTTCCACCACAGTATAGGATTATTGCTCCTTCCACCATAGTACAGGAATGGTGATCCTTCCCCCACGGTATAGGAACATTGCTCCTTCCACCATAGTACAGGAATGGTGATCCTTCCACCACAGTATAGGAACATTGCTCCTTCCACCATAGTACAGGAATGGTGATCCTTCTAACACAATAGAATTTATTCTCTCTTGACAAGAGGAGATTAAGGGGGGATATGATCAACATGTATAAATACATCAGTGGTTCATATAGTGAACTCGGTGTAGAGCTATTCCCCCTGAGGTCATCACAGAGGACAAGGGGGGCACTCTTTACATCTGAAGGAAAAGAGATTTAATCTCCAAATATGGAAAGGTTTGTTCACAGTAAGAGCTGTGAAAATGTGGAATAGACTCCCTCAAGAGTTGGTTCTGGCCAGCTCAGTGGATTGCTTTACAAAAGAATATCCGATTTCCTCTCAGGAATTAATTTTTTCCCCCTGCAGGAGCACATTAAATCATGCTTTGCTGTGTTTTTTGCCTTCCTCTGGATTAGTAGTGGGTATAGGATTATAACTTTTTTTTTTGGTTGAACTGGATGGACTTTTGTCTTTTTTCAGCCAGACTAACTATGTAGCTATGTAAATATGTAAGTATGGCTCACAATAAATGGGACTTGGAGGAAGGGCTCCTACACACCAGCTGTGATGGGGTGCATTGGGTAGAACTGGCCAATGCAAGAGCAAAGCAAAGCCTTATGTCCTATATCTTCAGTTTTCAATAAAGCACTGAAAAAAAGAACATGTTCCATTTTTGCAATGCGTTCCAACATACTGTAATGCGTCACAGTGCATAATATTAAGCAGAAGTTTAAAAACAATGGAAAAAAAGATAGCACTGCCATGAGTTCTAACAGTGGACTGCAGTGTACGGCAGCATGTGTTTCCTCTGCAAACCATTGCATACATTTTATAATTTGAGTCAAAATAAACATTTCTAAAATATTCATAAATATATCTGTAAACATGAAAAAACCCACAACTAAATTCTTCCCATTAATAGTATTCACCCTTTCAGTTGAACTCAGGGCTTCTTTTTTGGCCAGAGCACGGTGGTACTCTGTGCTGCCATCTCTGGCACTGGCCTGGTGCTCACCACTGTCATTTGAAGTAAACACCGAAGCCGGCAGAGGAATCTTTCTGCACTATTTGCTTCCTTTGCCGGCTCCTGTGTTTACAACAAGTGACAATTCACTTCTGCTGGAAGGTCACGCAGAACCCTCCCTGTACCATCCCTATGACAGCAGAGGAGGAGGTCTGCAGGTTCAACCCCGTGGCAGTGGCTTCCTCTGCACTGAGAACTACTGAGGACTGCTTCTCTTCCACAGCAGCTTATCTCTGTGCCACTTTGTATTGGGAAGGTAGGGATTTGGGGATGGGGGAGAGTGCTATACAGGTGGGGGGTATTTGGGGAAAGTTCTGTATTTGGGATGGGGGGGGGTTTGAGGGAAGAGCTCTGCACTGGCAAGGGGATGTGGGGGGGGGGGGTGAATTTTGGTTGTACACTGGTCTTTGTGTAGCACATACCCCCCACAAGGGTTGCTGAAATTTTGCCCAGATTCACTTCTATTCAGTGCAGAGGCAGCCAGGCACACAGCAGCCGGCACTCATCCAGCTCAGTAAACAGTCTAGGGGTATTTTTTTTAAAGCTATATTAAAAAAAAAAAATTGAACTTGAACAGGGTAATCATGGTATACTCCAGCAACATTCAGTATTCATTTGAGAACACCTACCTTCCTCCTAAAGATTCTGAACACAGTAATTGCAGCAACAAATAATGGGAGGAGCTACACTGGGACACCATGAACAATGTCCACTTCTAAGCACAAACTGAGTCTGATGCAGGAGGGATAGTAGCAGCACGGTCAATGGGATCTCACACACCTGTCTGTACGCACTAATGTCCTTGGATAGTTGGATGGCTCCTTCCAATATCTGCCAGACATCTCCTGTGAATTCTTCAGGCTGGATCCCCAAAAGGAGTCCCATAGTCAGCTGCAGCAGAATTCAGCAGATTAGGCCCCCAGCTAGCATAGCTGGGACCTCAATGAGCAGTAGAAATACCCAGCTAAAGTGAACAGAAGGGCAGCAGCCCTCCGGGCTGGGATCTCCTCTTCCTGGACAAGAACTCCTCTGCTCCATGCCTCAGGTTATTTATGCTCACTCCCAGCCACCATCTGGACACCCTCTTCCAGTGATTCATACTGTAGAATTGACTCTCTCAGCCCAATACTTTCCAGAACCATTCAAAAAACGGGGGAAGCAGCCAAACCCACAACCTGTGAAGCTGAAAGCAGCCCAGAGTAATCACAAGCAGCTACACTGATTACAAGAGAGCTAAAGAACTAAATGTAACCTAGCACCTATCTAGGAAGGTGCTACATCTGTGTTACCCACTCCTGTGCTCTATTTGATTCTTACCCCTGCATCCTGGGCAATATGCACTCCTGAGGACCTGTGCCCTGCACAATACACATTCCTGGGAACTGCACAATATGCACTCCTACGATCTGTGCCCTGTTCCATACACACTCCTGAGCCCTGCACTATTTGCACATCTAAGCAGTGCGCTCTGTACCATACACACTCCTAAGCCCTGGATAGTGCATGCTCCTGAGCAATATACACTTAATGCATACTCCTGAACCCTGCATGGTACACACTCCTGAGCCCTGCATGATACACACTCTAGAGCCCTGCACAATAAACACTTCTGAGCCCTGCACAATACACACTCCAGAGCCCTGCACAATAAACACTTCTGAGCCCTGCATAATACACACACTTGAGCCCAGCACAATACACACTCCTGAGCCCTGCACAATACATACTCCATAGCTCTGCACAATACATACTCCTGAGCCCAGCGCCCTGTGCAATACACACTCCTGAGCCCTGCACAATACACACTCCAGAGCCCTGCACAATAAACACTTCTGAGCCCTGCATAATACACACACTTGAGCCCAGCACGATACACACTCCTGAGCCCTGCACCATACACACTCCTGAGCCCTGCACGATACATACTCCTGAGCACTGTACGATAAACATTCCTGAGCCCTGCATGATACACACTCCTGAGCCCTGCACCATACACACTCCTGAGCCCTGCACCATTCACACTCCTGAGCCCTGCACGATACACACTCCTGAGCCCTGCACGATAAACATTCCTGAGCCCTGCATGATACACACTCCTGAGCCCTGCACCATACACACTCCTGAGCCCTGCACCATTCACACTCCTGAGCCCTGCACGATACACACTCCTGAGCCCTGCACGATAAACACTCCTGAGCCCTGCACGATAAACATTCCTGAGCCCTGCATGATACACACTCCTGAGCCCTGCAAAATAAACACTCCTGAGCCCTGCATGATACATAGTCTGTAGCCCTGCACAATACATACTCCTGAGCCCAACGCCCTGTGCAATACATACTCCTGAGCCCTGTACAATACACACTCCTGCACCCTGCACGATACACACTTTTGAACACTGCACAATACACACTCCGTAGCTCTGCACAATACATACTCCTGAGCCCAGCGCCCTGTGCAATACACACTCCTGACCCTGCGCAATATACACTCTTGAGTCATGTGCAGTACACAATCTTGAGCACCCTTTGCAATACATAATTGTGAACCCCGGACAAAGCATGCTCCCGAACCCTGTGTCCTACACGATATGCACTCCTGAGCCTTGTACGCAGTCCTGATCCCTGATCACAACCACCACTTTACCTCTCCTACCTGGGAAGGGGGGTGGGGATGTGGCAATGGGAATGTGAGATGCTGCACCTAATCTTTGGGAAAAATAACCCTGATTGTACTAATATAATTGTTAATATTATTTTTGTTATTCTTAATTTATATAGCACTGATAAAAGACTTAACATCTTGTACTCCCTAAATAATCACAGAAGGAATGAAATCTCCTTTCAATTGGTTTATGATCTAAAGAGGTTGCCACCAGGGATAGAGTTCTTCTGTTTGGGAAATATATTTTTCTGATGCACAATTGACTTCCTGTCAGTGATCTCAAAGGAAAAAGACAGCCAGCAGCTCATCCCCATATTAAAGAACTTCAACTTACCCTCCGCTTAGTTGTAATTGTAACTTTTATATATGAGAACTTGGGATTTCTGTACATATTTAATCTGCCGCTCCCGTCTGAACTCAGATGTCACATTTCCCAGAGTTGTAAGAACAGCTGATGATACACGGTGATTCTGTCTGCTCATAGCTGAGCATGTAAAATTCATATGTTCAATATACGTGATCACTGCTCTATGGAGGTTTATTTGTTTGCAGGTTCCAGTGAGAATGTGTCTACAGTTCAAGTAAAATAGAATTTTACGTGTACATATCAGCAATATTACTGTGGGAGGAACTCTTGGTTTATGGTCGCTGGGCTATCAGGAATTTTATTCCCAAATAATATTCTAAAATAAATGTAACTGGTTTTTTATCTATGACGCGAAAATCAAATGTTTCCAATTTTACAGGTTTATGAATATTGCTAGTCTTGTTGTGACATTATATATTGATATTTGGAAACAGACTCCTTTGAAATGGGCAGCCGGGGGGTAGTATAAACAGGTGGTTGATCTACGTTTTTACCACCCATTAACTGCCCACCTGCAAGTGCGTAAGGTACTGTTTGGTAAGTACACGCTGCCGCAGCCTTGATGCTTTCCACCGCAGCATGTCAGTTTTAACACAACATGCTGAATGTGACAGGCAGCACCATCTGTCAAACTCTCCCATGTATGTGAAAGGGACTGCACTGCAAATGTGAACCAAACACTAGGCTTTCAGTTATGGCGTGGCCTCTCTGTTGCTCAGGAGAGAGAGAGAGACAGAGAAAGAAAGGAAAGAAAAAAAGAAAGAGTTTGCTTCTAATGAGAGTAAGGCAAGCTATAAATGATGTGATTTTCGCCAGATTCCTTCCCCCAGCATTATTGTATTCTGTGGGCGGGGAGCCTTCCTTGGCGATAGAACACAAAGAATAATGCTGGTGGCCATAGCTGCCAACAGTAATCACATGCAAAAATCCAACAGGCTGGTTGGATTGAAGTTGACTGATGGATCGACTTCAGTATAGCCAGCCTGCCTGTAGATGGATTGAATATTGGCTAGTCCCTATTCAAGTTGTCCATATTTTATTGAACATTCTCAGACACTTTCTAATTTTATAGGTGCGTTTGTAGATAGGTAAAATCCTACTGATGGTTGTCTGCCAGGTAGATGCTGTTGGATGAGTGGGAAGAGTAGAATCTCTCATAAAAAACAAACAGCCCCCAATAATGTCTCACCTCTACCTTGTCTACCACTCCCAGGAGCATCACTAAGGGATCCAACCCCAGAGTCCGTCCACTAAAACCATTAATAATGTCTACCACTCCTGACCAGATGGGCCAAACCTGGGGACAGGTCTACACCAAATGGAAAGTGCCCGGCTGAGTCTGGCATCCTATGCACAGTGGTTTGACAGTATTATTGGTATATAGTGGAGGACCTATGTAAGAATTTAAGCTGTATAAATGTATTCCTTGCTTAAATCCTCTGAGGATGATATTGTCTAAGGCAGACATCCCAATTATCTTCTTTCAGATCAAAGCTAGTGTTCTTGCAAAAGTAGCGCATTTCGAGGTTCATATAATCTTGATTCAGTTAAATACATGTTTAAAGTATCCCTCTGGAAATGATTGCTCAATGCTCCTGTAAATATTGAAGGAATGTCTATTGATATCTTAGATCCACCTTTTTTTGGATATAATGGTCATCAATACCAGTATCAATATGTAGTTCTGTTGTGTTGCAGAGGTCATACGTAAGGGATTAACTCTTTCCTTGGTTCACCCTTTCAACCCACGCGATACTCTGCAATCCCTTCAGATGGGATCCCTCAGAGTTTCTGTAACTGAGTGGAAAGATGCAGACTTCACCAAGGAAGGTCCAGCCTGGCATAACCCGGAATTTAGTTTCAGTGTACAGCACGTTCACCTATCAACTTTGGGGTTGATTTAATAAAAGTATAGAGTGAAAAATCTGGTGCAGCTGTGCATGGCAGCCACCATAGCTACTATAAGTAATGAATGCCCCTGCAAGGCTTTCAGAGCAGTACCAACTTTACTGGAGCAGCATTTAATAGCATAACAGAACAACAGTCATTAGGGACAATGATGGTCCAAACTTAATGGAGCAGTTGAAAATTCTCCAGAGGAGAGAGTTACCTGTGCCTGCAGATTTAGGAGTAAAAATGTTCATCTGTGATAAAAGTCAGTCTTACTTTCCAAATGGGAGAAGTCCCTGCATTCCCCCCAAGGGGAACGTGCATTTCAAGTGGCACACGCATACAAGTTCCCGGGTTCCCCATTAGGGGAACTGGCATTCTAGGTGGCACACCAACAACTCCCTGGGACCCCGCAAGGGGAACATGCATTCCAGTGGCATAAGCCTACAAATTCCTGGGCTCCCCACAAGGGGAACATGCATTTCAGGTGGCATACGCCTACAAGTCCCTGGGACCCCGCAAGGGGAACATGCATTCCAGGTGGCATACGCCTACAAGTTCCTGGGCTCCCCCAAGGAGAACGTGCATTCCAGGTGGCATATCCCTGGTTGATCCAGGGAATATCTATTTGCTTCTCGGGGAATCAGGAAGGAATTTTTTCCCCTGCAGGGGCAAATTGGATCATGCTTTGCTGGGTTTTTTGCCTTCCTCTGGATCAACTGTGGGTGTTGTATTATAACTTTTTTTTTTTTCATGGTTGAATTGGATGGACTTTCGTCATTTTCAGCCAGACTAACTATGTAACTATGAATACGCCTACAAGTTCCTGGGCTCCCACAAAGGGAACGTTCATTCCAGGTGGCACACCTACAAGTACCTGGGACTACATGGTCTTCCGTGGTTCAGCAAACTCTAGCACAATCCCCAGAAGACTACATTCTCTTTCCTATAAGACTTGTAGAGGAGGAGTCCCTGGGGAAGGTGGCACAGTATTACTTTGGGGGGAGAATGACTTATTCAGCTTGCTCACAATTACAGAATCACTTTTATTCCTGTTAGATTTATCCCAACATGCCATTTTTTTTTTATTTTCTGAACATCCTTTTAGGTAAACGCGTGAATGGTGCCATAATAGGAAAAATGTGTCCCCAAGGACATGTGGTATTGAAACTTGAATGGATATCCACTAACAAGAATGATAACGTTCCCAAACATGCGTATGTGTAAGCTGAGGTCGATATCCATGTGGTGTGTGGTTTTCTGGTAAGTGCAAGTGTTGGCCTATAATAAGTATGTTTTCAGAAATTTTACTCCATCCGTAAGGCAATTGATATCCTGTTGGCAATTGAATCTGATAAGAGACGATCTTACCGAAATCCCAAAAGGTATTTGAACTGATAGTATGGTGGATTGGCAGCCCTGATATTCAAAGTTTGTGCAAAATGGCAGCAAATTGGTATTGGGAGAACAGGAATGGCCAAGAGTCAATCTGTGCCATGTAGGTCCATCAACCCATGTAGCCTGTTGATGTTCCCCAGGTAGACTTAATCAACGCTTTATACTTTACTGGTTACTGGGATCAGCAATCTATTTAGGTTTTTGTGTCTTTAACTGTTTATTTGTAGGGTGATGCCATTCTAGTTTTTCTCTCTGTTATATTGTCAAGAGGTAAGGAATGAAGACTGGTGAGGTTCACCTTCTCAATTTATCATGATGACCATTGTCAGAAAGTGATGGGAAACCCAAATGTGGAAATCTTCCAATGGGGATATCTGTTCTGATAACAACTGTCTGAAAGAGAATTTCATCATTTTAGATTTCCTCTAACTTCCTGTTAGGTCTCCTGGAAAGGAAGTGAAGGTGAATCTCCCCAATGGTACTCAGCCAGAGGTTTTAACCCTTCCCTGCTCTAAAACTACAAAGGCACTTTAGCAGAAAATAGGAGCTCCCTACACAGATGGGAGATCAAAAATAAAGGCACAATTTTTTTTAGGAAAATGTTTTCAATAGAAGGAAAAAACAATTTCTGTGAAGCCTGTTGGGAAAGAGATTGTCTGAAGAGGCGGCTGGATTATCCTTGTAGTAGCTCTTTGTCACGCCTGTTACATTGTATATTTCCCTCTGCACTTCTAGATCCAGCCATGAAAGCTGCAAGAGAGGAAAATGGTTTTTATTACCAGCAGAAAACAGTCAGGTTTAGTCCATCAAATGAAAAATTGGGAAAGCGGTTTTTAGGGCCAACAGCTCAATATTTGTTCCATTAATGGCTCCCTGATTTTCCCAGTCTAGAATCCATGCTCTCTGTGGGAGCTGGACCTTCGGCGTGGCCTAACCAACATTTCCATTATTATACAATCCATGATGGATAGATA